CTGCAGGATTCCAACTGGGAGTACTGGCAGGTGAGGCCAGCATCACTTCAAGCCCTTTTTGTGGTCACAGCTCAGAAAAACCTGCCTCAGTGTGCCCAGTGCCACAGCAATGGGGTTAAACCCCCAGCAACCAGCACCAGGAGAGGAAGAAAAACTGCTCAGTGTGAGGGGCTGGCAGGGCTGGGGTGTGCAGAGACCTTGAGGGCTCGTTAATCTAGCAAACACTTCTTCTTGATTAATGTTACACCCACTCCCACACCAAGTGGATCAATACCCCAGCATTTTGTTTGGAATAACATATCAAAAGTCACAGAATTCTTCTTACCCTTACCCCTTCTTACCAGGGGATGTGGCATCCTGGTCCCACCTGAATGGGTCACATCACTGCCACCATCACACATCCAGCCCTGAGACAGGGTTTGGTGACATTTCCCTGGCCAGCAAATGTCCCCAGGGCTTATGGTCATTTTAGGATCTTGCTGGGGACTCGATATGGGGGTTGATCCAGTCAGGTAAAGGGCTTTCAAGACACTCATTTTCTTTTAAATGGGCTGCATTTCAAAATGGATTTCTTGAGCAGTAAATTATAATTTAGTGCTTATTATAATATTCATTAAGAGCTGACTTGTGCTGTAGCGTGACACCAAATACTAATTATTAGCAATTAAGGTGGAAAAGGGGAGGAATATTCTGAATTGCAAAAGTAGGAATAGTAACAGCCTGGGAGGAGTAAGTGAGGCAAAACAGCTGGGAATTTTCTTTCTGCAGGGAAATGAGGTGATAAAATCCCCAGAAATAGGTGGATGGGAGCCAGGGCTGCTTGGGTAGAGGGGACAAAAATAATCCCAGTGCACCAAGCAGAGGGGTCACAGGGGTTGGGACCATTGGGTCCGAAGTGCCCCATTTTGGGGCATCACTGCCTAGCAGGATCCATAGAAGGAAATGAGCTCCAAAGGCTCCATCTTCCATCAATGTTACTTCTCTAGTTCATTTGCTACCTTTTTTTTCCCCTTCAGGATGGAATCAAGTCTCCTACCATGGCTTCTAATAGAGGAGGGGAAGATGTTTCTGCTGGGTCTGATGTTAGGTGCCAGTCTGTGTCCTTCCTAGCTGCAGGGAGGGCTGGGTGCTGGTGAGCAGTTCCTGCCCAGGCTTTGGGCACAGTTCAGCTACAGAAGCGTGGTGGTTTTAAAGCAAAAGCCTGAGTCCTTAATTCCAGCCAAGCTGGAGCTAAACCAACCTCTGAATCACATCTTTTGGTAGCAGGTTTGGCCCTGGGAGCCACGACTGCCACCTAAAGCTGGGATGGATGAGGGGCAGGATGAGTGGCCAGGGAAGCACCCACAGCCAGGCCAAGGGATGTGGCTTCTCCTGTGCCTAGTGAAGGGGGAGCAACTCTGGTTACAAACTACACCCTTCCTGGTTATCCATACTGCCCTGCACCAGGCTGTGCAGCTGCCTCCAAGGCTTCCCTCCAGCAGAGGCTGGTTAATCTCTCTCACTCCTTCCTATTGTTTAATTAAGGGGAAAAAAAAAAGATAATCTTACATATCAAAGTGATCCCTTTGTTGCCAAACATGCCTAGATTTTTTCTTTTCTTCTCTTTGAATAGGAAAAAGCCATTTACAGTGTAAATGCAATTCTAGGGAGGTCCAGCAAACATGGCCAGGAGCCATCAGCAACCAAGCTTGAGTAAATCAAAGTTGCCCCACTAATTGAGCTGAACGCCCTTTTTCTCTGCCCCGTTTATTTTAAATCCAGGGCTGGGGTGCAGGGGGGGCAGCTCTCTGTGAGTCCCACCAAAGTGCTTGGTGCTTTCACTCTCATCTGATTTTAGGATGTGTGATGTTACTCTAGCTGGGATAACTCCAGCACCCATCTGCTCCCTCCCTCCTTGCCCATCCATCTCTTGGTGTTTTGGCAGAGGAGGTTTCTCAGGGCTGTGTGGGGAATGGGGATGCTCTTGCTTTTTCCAAGCCAACCAAAATACCTGTGAAACAAAATGTTTTGGCATAACAGGGTGGGGCCTTTTTGTCATTGTAATGGAATGGTGTTGAATAAGCATGTCCTCCTGGCCCTGTGGGTCCCTTCAGCCTTGCTGCAGGGTGGGGATGGGGACAAGGATGGGGACAGCAGCCCTTAGCCACCCTGGGATTGCAATGCTGGGTCAACAGTTACACTTGATGATCTTAAAAGTCTTTTCCAACCAAAGCAATTCCATAATTCTATGATTCTGTGAGGGAGGGAGCTGACCTGCTGCCAGCCTGAGGTGAAGCAATTAAAGTGTGTGGCTGCCACAAGCATTTCCTGCCTGTAATTAAAGCTTTTAATGAGGAGGCATATGGTAACCTCCCTCCAGCCCCAGGCTGGCACTTTGCCATGTTTGGGTTTATTAATGATTGCTAATTACACCGTAATTCAGCATGTATGTCAAGGAGGGCTGCATGGCCTGAGCACTCCAACTGGCTCTGACTGCTGCCAAAACAATGCTCTATTTATCTTTTTTTTTCCCCCTTGCATTGGGAACTAGATCCCCAGGCATTTGCAGGGCATTCTGAGGACACCACCACCCCGGGACACGGTGCGGGCTCCTTCCCCACTGCCTGGAGGCTGCAGATCCAGATCCAGCTGCACATCCTCCCCACAGCCAGACAGTACTTCTTACTCCCTGGGGTGAGTTTTCCTGACCAGCTGATGCTCCTGGTAGCCACACTGGAGCTTCAAGCCTTTCCTCGTCCCAGTGGCATATCTGCCTGCTGGGATGTGCCCTGCCCTGATGAGCCTCAGGGCACCTCTCTGGCCCAAGACTGTGTTTTATCCGGGTGAGAAATCCAGCGGTTTCTTTGCCCTCAGCTCTGCTGCTGGGGTGTTTGTTGGGCCAAGCACTGATACCAGGGCTGGTCTCCCCCTGCAAAAGGCTTTTGGGGATGTTTTACAGCAGCAGGGGGCAGTTTTTATTAAGTACCTGGTTCCCAGCCTTTGGAGAAGTCGGGTCACCCTGTCACCCATCAGCGCCCACACCCCATCCCACAGCACTGCGACCCTGAACTAGGTGGGTGCTGAAATGCTTCTTTCTCACACAAAGTACCAAAGGTTTTGGGGACTTCAGTGACTATCTCATGACCTTATGAGCTGTTACACAAAGCTGTGCCCAGAGGGATGGGCTGCACTCGTGTTTCGTCCCCCTTTGTCCAGTTCCTGCTTGGAGCTCTTCTCCCATGAAACCCTTCACAGGCTCTCAGGGTTCATCTTTGTTCCTTGGCAGGTTTTTCAAATGCTTTTCTTTACAATTTAGCATGAAATGAGACCCTATCTACATATCTGCCTTCAGCTGACAGACTAGAAGATGCCTGGTTTCTGCAACAAAACTGACATTAATGGTATAAATGAAGACACTTCTTCAGCAAGATGACCCACAGCAGACATTGTCTTAATCGTGACATTTTCCTCTTCAGACTCCAAGAATATGTGATAACCTCTAAGTCACACAGTTGTTTTCCAAACAAGCAACTTCCTTTTAACCCAATTCCCTATTTTCCCCTCCCCTGACCTCCAGCCTCCACATAGACTCATGTCCACCACAGAATTTGAGAGCTCAACATCAGAAATCAAAGGATTTCAGGAGTGGCCACCAAACCTCACAACTCTCCACCCACACCAAGGCCACGTGTTTAAAGACAGAGGTTTTATCAAGCTGGTTCTGCAGGAAAGCTTCAAAACTCAAGAGTTGCAAAGTTTATTTTCTACTTTTAATACTTTTATTTTTCATTGCAGTAGCTTCTAAATTATTCACGAGTTTAATGTCTTTCCAACATGCATGCTAGAAAAGGAGAAATTAGGATCCACAGCTCATGATACGTCTGGGCAGGAGATTCAAAACCTGCCAAAGGAAAACTTGCAGAGACTGCAACAAATTTTGAAGCAAGTGCAGAGAAAACAAGCTTAATTAAGTGACTTCAAAGAACTCCAGCAGATCAGTCAGTCTTAACAACATTTGTACAGGAAAATCTCATGAAACATAAAATGAACTTCTCCATTTAGTAGAAAAAGGACACTGGACAACAAACATAAACCCAGAAAGCAACATAATGTTCAAAGTCCAAGTTCACAAGGTCAGGAAGGTACATTCCAACCCAAAATGATTTCTCCATCAGCAGTTCCACAGTTCCATTTTCCAAGCTCTCTCCTCTCCCTTCCTCCCTCGGGAGGTGCTAACCAGGTGCGAACTGACACAGTTCAACAGTTTCTAGTCTAGATCCCGGCAGGATTAGTGAAGTAAGGGACATGGGGAGGCACTTCTGGAAAGATAAGCCCTTATCACGTCAAGCAAAGCGTCTAAATTATTTTTCTTACCTTTTCAGCGTTTCTGTTGCAACGACTGATCGTGCTTCTTTATTTTTTTGTTCTTCTCTTCAACGTCTGTCAGCACAGCTTGCAGTTTCTTCGAGCTCTGCGTCAGGAACGCAAAGCTCTCTTTGAAGTTGCCAGTCCCGTGCTCCCTACAGACACTCTCCAGCCCATCAAACCATTGCAGGATCTTCTCCAGCTCAGCCCGAACCACCTTCTGTTCCTCCAGCTCTGCTCGCAGCGCCTGCCCGGCGGAGGCCTCAGCCCTGTACTGCTGCTGCAGCTGCTGGATCTCATCCTGAAGCGCTTGGAACTGCTCTCTGCTGTAGGGATACTGCTCGTGGACCTTGTCCTCGGGAAGGAGCACGTTCTTCGGGATGTTTAACACCAGCTGCAAAAGCACTTCTTCCATCTTACTGAAGAGCTTATCGAAGTGCTCCTTCATGAAGAGAAGAAACTTCTCGGTGCTTTTCCGGACTTGGAAAGGGCTGATCTTGGAGTCGGGAAGCCCGTCCAGCTTCTTCAGGATCACCCTCTCCACCACCAGCATCATCTCGAAGAGGTAATCCTGGAAGGCGATGTAGACGCGCAGCATGCAGGTCTGGGGGGTGAAGCCGAAGAACTGCGCTTCGTAGGCCATGGGATCGACCGACATGGCGGCGGGGGGCGGCGGGCAGGGCAGGCCCGGGGAGGCAGGCCCGGCCGGG